GGTTTTATTAAAAAGAAAAGCACAGAATCTGCCCTCTGTGAAATCCAGAGCCATGCAATGAACCATCTGGACAACGACAAATTTGTGATGGGCTTATTTCTGGACTTCTCACGCGCTTCCGACTGCATCTATCATAAAATACTGATTTCTTAGTTATCGAGATATGGTGTCAGGTCTGCCCTCTGTGAATTCCAGAGCCATGCAATGAACCATCTGGACAACGACAAATTTGTGATGGGCTTATTTCTGGACTTCTCACGCGCTTTCGACTGCGTCTATCATGAAATACTGATTTCTAAGTTATCGAGATATGGTGTCAGGTAAGTACCCCTGTACGTTCTAGAGTTCTAGAGTCCTACTCAGATCCCTCACACATACCTCAAAGAGTTCCGCAAGGCTCGATCCTATGTAGTTTATGCAAATGACCTCATAAGATATTTCAACATGACTAACAACTTTAATATTATACATATGGTGTGTTATGTCGATGATACTAATGTATTAGTAGTCCAGAATGATTTGAAAAACAATAATCTGAATTTAAATACATCAAAGACTGATGCTATGTTAATTACTCTGCGTGGGCACAATCTAAACTGCAGACTTTTTGATGGTACCCCTAGTGAAATAGAAATGTCAACATCGGTTAAAATGCTGGGTATAACTTTTGAGGCAAACTCAATCTGGACCCCACATATTGACAATCTATGCACAAAACTGAGAAAATCTTGCTACTCTTTGAGGTTTATGGCAAATCATGTAGTGAAGAGATGCTGCTGATCCTGTATCATGATAATTTCAACTCCCTCCTGAAGTATGGCATTTTAAACTGCGGAAATTGATCCTCTGTAAATAGAGTGTTTACTCTACAGAAATATGGCATACGAATACTGGCAAAACGAGGCTCTAGAAATTCGTGCAGACATTTTTTTTGATAAACATGTCAACAGTGGCAGGGGCCAATATAATAGAAGCCTGCGTCCACGTTTTTAAACATATATCTAGCAATACAGCTGATCGTTTACATAACTATAACACTAGAGGGAAACAGTTGCTACTACCAGTACGCTATTGTACTGCCCTTTTTCACAAAAGTTATGAAGTGGATGGGTGCAAATTTTTCAATATTTCACCCGAGACTGTGAAAAACTGTTAAAACATAAATGTGTTTGAAAAAATGACAAAACAATGCATATAACAAAAAATTGTTACAATTTCAAAGAACTCCCAAACTAGAACCCAAAGTTCATTTCTTTTTCTGATCTGTGACTGTTTATAAATCATTTATTCATTAGTTATTGTATATATACAGCTATAAATAATATATTATGTAATGCGCCCATTGACGTCTTTCAAAATAATTTTGTTATAGTGTACATATAACCCATTTACATCATTGTGTACAACCTCATTGATTGAAATAAACTGATATTATTATTATTATCACTTACTGATATCAATCAGTAGGAAGCTCATAGATAGATGATTAGTCAGAGACAAATCTGGGATTGTGAAAAAATTCGATGTGTATACATTATTGTGAAAATTAACATTCATTTGATAGGATACAACTCCTTTGCTATGTACTGTGATTGATCACGAACTGAATACAAGTTATTTTCATTACATGAAATGGAAAACTTGTGTTTCGATAGTGAGGAATCTGATCACAACTTTATATAGTACCCATACCAGGAGAACTGTTCTTGTGAGGAGCCAAATATGGTTACATTTCATAAATACTCCACCGAAAGTGGTATACATTTTCTCCCAATGATATTCGATAACATCAACGTGTCTGTTTTCTACGCATCTGACTGTATATGCCAAATTTAACACTCCTAAATCATCTGAATTTTCAAACAATTGGTGTTGCCTTGCGTTGAACTACCTTGAACAGTTTTAATTCATGTTTATCGAAGTTATTTTCATCCTCCACATGCTGAAATTGAAAAACCCAGACCCCAAAAAAGTTCCCTGAAATAACTCTCAGCTTATTCCACTACGCAAAATTTCATACACCTAAATTTTGAAACTAATCCGCCTGCATTCCTTCGACGACGTGATATTCCATTTTCTCACATTACTTTCATGAAACTTTCTCAGGCTCCCAAGAGAGAGCGGCATATCTGCGTCGGGTAAATATGTCCTCGAGATTTCGATATTCTGTTGACATCATATTACTAGACTCGAATTTTCGAGGGCTACTAAAGACATCAAATAAGGTGTGAGCAGGTGCTTGCGCCATCTTGTGAGAGATCAAGCTCATTTGTTATTCTGTTGGATGGGTTGAGTTTGACTCGACTCCTTTTTCATGGATTTTATGGCAAGCTGTGTGGAGAAATCATTGACCGATATTTTTTTTGATGGAAATTTATACAATGAAATAGGTACACAGTAAAAAGTATTTCTTTAAAAGAAGACCTAATCAAGTGGGAAAANGTGGCTGCTGTTTTCATATTTTAACATTTCTATATATTTGATGAACAAAAGCAAAATGCAGAACTTGATCGACGATAGTGATTTTTTTAATGTTATTTACCATTACCAGAATGGCATCTAGTTTTAAAAACTTCATTTGTGTAAAATTACTAATAAATTATTCATTTTCCTGTCTGAGTTGTAATGTTGTTTATAGGCTTCGATTTCATTTTATTTGTTAATTTGCAATTTGCCAAGAATATTTCCCTTTTTTATATATGTTTTCTTATTGAATATTTATTTATGTTATTTTGTATACCTGTAGGATCTCTCAAAAGTGTACGGTTGGAATATGATATTCAAGCAAAGATTAGCAAAGAAAATTTATTTCTCTATTACGTTTTGTTCTTCATCACATGCTTTTTCAATATTTATGATTTGCATGATGTTTCTATGATTTAAGTGACAACAAATTTTTTTCAGTTTGTGGATGCTACTGCCAGAATAGAAAAACGAACCAAAATATTTTCTGTATAGTTTCCAGGAGAATGGAGGGAACCAGATTGAAGCTGATTGATGAATTGCCAATTCAACAAAAAAAAAAAAAAAAAGAAACAGTTATGCAGATTCAATTTCTTCTTCATGTCTAGTCTGCAGATATAGAGGAAGTTATGGAAGAAGAGTGGCAGAGAAGAACCTACATTGTTACAGACATGCAAGTGACAGATGAATATCTAAGAGGACTAGAAGGAATACACGATACCTCAAACAATACCAATGTTTCATTATCATTTTCATCAATCATATCCCAAGTCCGAAGTCCACCCAGAAAAGTTTCGTCATGTACACACTATAGAGTCAAAAGTACACTTGATCAATATTTGCTATCATGACACTGGAAATACAGATTTTGTAACCAACTTCTCCGATTTAATTTTCACGGGCCGAGAAGAAAGAGCGGTTTTGCTACAAACGCATTCAGCCCGTTCTGAAACGCTTAATTTTCTTTAACTAACGATGGCAGTTAGCGAACGGAGTGATGCTTATCAAACAACAACACGAGCAGGGAACCTAATTAACAAAATAAGAATCCACGGGAGCAGGAAAGTTGTTAACAAGAGTTCCCAGCGAAAATGGAACTTACGAGAAATTAATCTCTGCACGTAATTTCGTTGTAAATCTTTACAACGGGCCGTTAGGATATGTTCTTGTTTCGAAACTAACATGCCCGAAAAAGTGTAATCCTCTTCTTGATCAGTTGTTCAGCTACGGTTGAGTTGTACAAAATAATTGATGTTGAGGGCTGCTGAAACTCCTGGATTCAGGTATGAAATTTACCACTTCAAAAGGAAACTTTACACTATTTTGATTATTCCCTTGTTGAAAGCGACGATACCTAGTATTACGTGTTCCGAACCGAAGCAAATTGGAATCGGAATATCTGGTTTTCAAAAACAGATGATGTAGATAACTTCTCATTAGTTCAATTCATTTTCAGAAATTATAAAACAAAAATTTCAATTCCCATCGGATTCGTATTCAGAATAAGAAGATATCACAACTGTGAGAAAACCAATACATGATGGAAGAAATCCAGCTGTATTGTGCTGAATGGAAAAGTAGAATTGTCGAATTAGGTGAAAAAGTCTGTGGTATGATTACATAAATATATTTGTGGTTAGATAGATTATGTTTCGTTGTCGTTAAGTGTTGATTCTCAAGCATACTGTTTGAATGAATATGTAGAACATATGTTGGAAGTTTTATTGCCACAATTCGAGGCAATATTTTGGCGAAGGAGCCGGTTGGTATTATTCGATATTTTGGCGAGAGCGGAAGCGTATCATACATATTCTGTTTGAAAACGAAGTTATCAGTATATGTCATGAATGAATAGATGAATATATAGAATATACGGTGAAATTTCTGGCGTTTAGCTACAGTAACTAGATGCAATATATTGGCGAAGGAGCGTGCAATATTTGGCGAAAGCGAAGACGTTTCGTGGGATTTTAAGAGAAATGAATTCTGTTACGTTGTCTGTCGTAAAGTGAGAACTTTCACGTATTATGTTCAAACATGATGTTATCGTTGAATGTAACAAATACTCAGAGTATTATTTGTGTATATCATGGATAAATGAATGAATATAATAGAATTTAATGCTGAAACTTTTGTTGTCACAGAAATACAAGAAAATATTTTGGTGAAAGAGCCGAGTGTAGCAATTTAATATTTTGGCGAAGGCGAAGACGCTTCTTGACATTTTTGGTGAAAAGAATTATGTTGTGGTCTGTCGTAAAGTGTGAACCTTTGCGTATTAGTTTAAAAATGAAGATATCCAGACGTGTTTTATTTATGATGGAACGAATTTTGTTATATTGTTTGTCGTAAAGTGCAAATGTTCACGTATCCTGTTCAAATACGAAGTTGCCTGTACATGAAATGAATGAATAAATAGATATATAAAATAAATTTTCTGTCATCATTCGATATTTTGGCGAAGGCACATACATTTTGTGCCATCTTTGGTGACATGAATTCTGTTATATTGTTCGTAGTGAAGGTGAATTTTCATGTTATCTCTTGAAAAGCCCTGAAAACAGAAATTGAGATTAATGCCGCCTGCATGTCGTGCATACCCCGGAAAGTTCAACCGGTGAACGATGAACGACGGGGCACAGCAATTCATTGAACAGTTCGTGTGCGAAAACCTGAGAAAGCGGTAGGGATTTCGAACTTTTGGAGCTGTTTTCTGTGATTACAGGAGAAAAAATATGATAACAACAATCATAACCTGATGTTCTCAACAAGCAATTCATTCAGGCCTGTCGTACCTCACCTACACTGTAGCGTAATGGAGTGACACCTATCAGAAAACAACTACTTTTCTGACTAATACCACAAAGGGTATGTGGTTATATCCGACAGCTGTCAGTCAGACTAGCCTGAAAGAATTGTTCTTTCAGATAATTTGATCAACAGCCAATCATCAAGTATGCCCCCTTACTATGTGGGGAATGACATTCTGGAACGGAAGAGAAACCCAGGTAAATAGAACTTGAGCGGGAGATCATTCATCCATATTTTTTTTTCGAATTCAGATCTCATTCAGATTCCATTAAGACTAAAGTGTACAGATAAAGATACATATCGATGATTATTATTAAGTTTCTGTTGGATGACGAGACTGCACCTAAGCATTTTGTGTGTTTGAGTCGTGCCTGTCTGCTACCCTGAAACATTATAATTGTACAAGTCAATCATTGAAAAATTAGGGAACCATTTTCGGTGAATCAGCATGACCTGGATTATCTGAACTTGAATATGAAAGTGTCAAAAAAGTGGTTTTTCTTAAAGCGAGTTACACCTGTAGATGTGGATTTGATGAAATATCAGATAAACTACTAAAAAAATCGTATGCAGGTTTATGTGAACCATTGGCTTTTCCCATCAATCTTTGTTATTCTGAAGGAATTTTCGCATACTGTTTGAAGTTGGCTGTAGTTTTGACATTATACAAAAAAGGTGATTCTGATGACTTTTCCAATTGAAGAGCCATCAGTGTCAAGTCTCTCTAAACTCATTGAAATGGACATCACCAATCAACTCTCATTATTGCTATCTAAAAATCAACATGGATATGAGCACAGAATCTGCTCTGTGTGATTTTCAAAAATGTCTAGTACACAATTTTGATAAGGAAAAATATGCTCTGAGTATTTTCATTGACTTTTCATGAGCTTTCGACTTAGTCAACCATAGGCTTTTATGTAGTGAGTTAGAATCGCACGAAGTTAGAGGAACACCGCTAAAATTATTTGAATCATATTTAACTGGCAGAAGTCAGGTTGTTACACTTTATAAAGTTCTGAGTAGTTACCGTGAAATGAATCAAGGTGTACCTCAAGGATCTGTATTGGGACCTTTATTGTTCAATATATTTGTAAATGATATAATCAGTCTAATGGAGACAAACCACGATATAAATATAGTGTGTTATGCAGACGATACCAATTTCCTAATTTTTGAAAAAAGCATAGACATGCTATTGAGTAAAACTGAGAGGATTTATAAAGACATCATTCGGTGGTTTGGAAAGAATTGTCTGTTACTGAAGATTCTGACCTTATTGAAGAATGAGATAGTTGCAGGACCGTAAGATTAGGAAATACCGAGAATACATCAACTAATTTATTATTTTGTAATTTTTGCATGTTATTGCATGTCAAACGATTTTGGCAATTATTCTCGTTTATACGGTTGTATGTATTGTAGTGAATAGTAATAGTAATCCTATAGTAACTATAGTTACAGAATACAATTCAGTGACATATATGACAGAAAGTAATGATTGAAGAATTGAAACTGATATGAATATATCTGAAATTGCTAATATAGAAATGAATTATATATGACTCAGTATATATTTTGAAACTCACACACATATCTATACTCATGAATGTAAAAGTCACTCATTTAACAATCATTCATCTCTGTTTCTCCTTACAGGTGAGTCCTAGGAAGCTAGAGCAGACTCAAACAGAGGAGAATGCAGTTCAGCTTTCATATTGGTTGGTCTGCGGCCGCCTCCTGAATGAATGTGTTGTACCACATATCGATGACCCATTTTCTTCATTTCCACAAAACGGACAAAGTTTTTGACTCAACATAACATATCAGTCTGAATTCACACCGTTACAAGTTGAGAAATTAGTTTTTATCTGACTGGCATTTACCGAAATTGTGTAGATACATTGAGGATGATAAATGTTTTGTGATTTCATCCTGAAATATTCATTTCCTTCCGCTTAGGAGTTTCCAATCTAGATGGATCACACTGTAGTCAGCCCCCGGGAGTTGAAAGATTGAGTAGTAACCATTCACTGGCAATAATTCATGAAAACCCGCAACGGATTTATGTTTCAATAATAAAACAGATGTCGTTCAGGAAGTGGTGATGACTTGAATAGCTCCTGTGTTCAGTGTTAGGCAACCGAGGGATTTGCCGAGAAGAAAATTCAAGCGTGGAAATTAATTCTGCGTAAATGATGGATGTGTCAAGAAATTTTGGAAAACCTTCCCAAATTTTATCGTCGGTAGAGGTAATGAACTGAACCGATTTCCAGGTAGTGGGAATTCTATTTGACACATTCGGTTTTCCAATGATTACTTAGACTTCAACGGAAAGATTTTCAACTCCAATGGTCTGAGAGAATGAATGATGCCGTGAGACCAATTTGAGGAGGGGTATTGGCAGTTCATTTCGACAGCAATTGAGCAAATATTTTTTGAAGGATATGAATTCATTTATTCAACTCCGAGTGATTTGGAAAGCAGTAGAGAGATGGCAGAATGATTTCCAAAGCTTGTGGGACAAATTGGTCGATATCTGGAGATGTGAATATCAGAACATTTACATTCATATTCGAAACATCGATATGAGAATATTCGAAAGTTAATCACTAGAAATTCATGGAAAACTGTGAATGTATTTTTGTATATCAATTTCAAGTTGTTGAGTACATGTCTGTTCACAATTTTCAGTAAAGAGGAAACTAATAACAATATGAACGGAGATGGTTTGTATTGAGAAATACTGATTGGTACGTTGGCAATTACCTTATAAAACATTGATAGTTTTTCGAATGTATTCTTAAATTTCAGTTTTGACTCATGACACAGCTAGTAATTTTCTTTGAGGTAGTTCATCGAAAAGTTCGAATGCTAAAAATGTTGGATATCTTTTCCTTCCATTCATACCATACTTTTGTATCGTAATGTACATATGTAAACATTTTCAGAAAGTCCATGTAAGCCTAACTGAAAGCCTGAGGCATTTCACAAAAATAATTGATATGTTTCAGTATTTTTTTGAAAAATCTGTTTGAGTATATTTTGAAGTTGTTTCAAAAATGACAAAATAATGATGGTATTTTCAATATCTCTACATGAACCACTCAGATATACAGAACATATTGTATGTTCCTGCTTCATTTACTTTGAAATGAACGAGATTGTGACTAAAACAAGGTTTATCAGATTTCACAATTATCAAAAATAATCCTGTCAATTCGTGGCAGTTGTATTATGAGTCGAATACACTGGTATACATGCTCAAGAACCTACGTACTGTTTTAGATGAGCAACAACTTATTTCTGTTTATTATGCACGAATAGAGACAAGCCCACGATATGTAATACTTTTCTGGGGCTGGTTCGCTTATGCTTATGAAGTTTTCTTGGTACAAAAAAGAATCATCAGAACAATTGCGAAAGTATCTAGTACCTACTCATGTGTGGATTTGTTAAAAAAAATTAGGTCATCAAGAAGAATATCGACTTTCAATAATGGAATATCATTGACTTTAGATCGATGATGGTCACTATCTTGCACTGACGAGTGGCTAAGGAGTCCAAAACCGGACTTCTTAGCCTTAGCGGCAAGTGTGCCCGTTTCAAAATTGAAGGTCGACTCTTTCAGTTGTATTGCCAATTGCATATGCAGGAAATTTTCTGTGAAGATTCCTGCACTGACGCATGTCGGATATAATCCAACGCCATTCGTGGTATCAGCCAGGGGAGTAGTTGTTTTCTATTGTATAGGTATATCCGAGACGGGCTTGAACATTTGAAGTTCATTTCTTTAGATTTCTAAGAAGTTTGTTTATTTCTGAACTTTGCGTTAATGTTCATTCAAATAAATGCCATTTTGAACTTGTTATACACAAACACCAAGTGAATATGCGTCAGAAGAATATACCATATAGCAAATAATAAATATATATTGAGATGTAATTCTCACAGTATCGCAGGGCCACAGCTCTTCAATAAGTTACCGAATTATATTACCGAATCCCGTACCTTCAAAGTTTTTAAAAATAGATTGAATAGCTTGTAAAGAAGTGTATTTATTCTGTGGATTACTTTTTGTCCGAAACTAACAGATGAAAATAACTTACATCCATCCATTTCTTAATTTATTTCATTAGGTAAAATAATTTATGTGTATCCGACGAATCCCATACAATGCATGTTGTTAAATGGATAATAAAATATTGATTCTTTCAGATAATTTGATTTCCTTTCATTACGGTTTCGTCCATTTACTTCCTTGTATAATTTCCTTGCTTTCATATATAATTTCGGAATACTCCCAGAGATAGATACGGCAAGGAATAAGACAGAAAATAAAAGAAATAATCCGATTATAAATTCCCGTTGCTTTTTCGGATCATTTCATATTTCTCACACTGGATTTAGTTATTTATATCTGACAAGTTCTTTATAAAAGTCTGCCGAACTCATTCGCGGGAAAATATTGGTCGATAAAACACACTGGAAAAGTTTGTCTCCAACAATGAAGTTACTGAATTCAAACTATGTGGGTGGTCTATGAAAATAATTGAAGGAAATGGGCTGCCAAAAATTGTTTCCATATGTCATTCGAGAACGGTAACTTCTTTTTTTGAGGACGGAACACAAGCATATAGGAAAATTCTTGAGGTTCTAGACACACCCAGGTCCTGCACATTGCTCATCCATTTATGATACTCTCATTTATATTACCCGTGTTAGGAATCACACGTTGAAAGGTGAGACCTCGTTAATCCTTAGCTTGCACAAGTTTCGGCTTCTGTGGGTTGTCGTTCGTAGGGGTGCGACAGCTGGTTAACATAAGAAAGATTTCAAACAAATTTTTAAACTTCAGGAGCTCCTCCTTTACCATTGAATGGAAAACTGTCAATCGTCGAACAAACTCTTCATCAAACTGAAACAACACCAAACATTACTATATTTCTCCGTTCCGACGGAAATGTCACATTGAATTTAAAGCATTCGAATACCTTTTCCACTGTCCCGTTCATTTAAAAACGGAATAAATATGAACCGTTGAATTCCTACCCGGAAAGACCCGGAAATCCTGTGAAAGTGGGTAACGAGAGTCGATGAATAGGAGTGTTTTCAATCGACTGGAGTCGTTCAAAGCCGGTCAATCATACAGATTACAAATACGGACCGAAAACAAATGGAGTAGAAATGCTTGCCGCGGATTCAAAGGATTATGATGTTTGAATGGACTTCTCTGTAGGTCAACTTCAATCCGTTTTGATTGATTTGATGATCAGGAACTTACAGTAGAAATGCTGGTGGAATTTTTCATTGTGGTGTTCTACATTATCTTTCGCCAAATAACAATGGCATTGAAGGAAACTAGGGTACAGTATCATAGCTGACAGTATAGTGAGTGTGGAGGTTAGGTAAGGTTATGTCCAAAGTGAGTGGGTCTATTCGACCCTTCACCGCAACCCGCAAGGGTTTATTATGGCTCACACCTATTCACACTCGACCAAACGAACCCACCTTCTTAACGAAGCCGATTAGTTTGACTGGTGAGCGGTCTTTCAGTTCAGATAGTGAGAGTACGGCTCTGCTAAACTCTTAAAACCTGATTTGATCCCCAGCGGGACAGAAAATCCATATTTAAAAAACTAATAAATAGAGTTCATTCTATGATTTTTACTATAAGGGTTTTACAAAAACCGCGACACGTGTTTCGCTATACAATAGTTTCTTCAAGCATAACTAAGAGTTACTTCTAAATTACAACTTTATATACTATAACCTAGTACCTATTCGTCTACCTAAGTAATAAATCGATCTGAAAAAATATACCTGAAAAAGTCAGAGGGAGATCAAATATCCCTGCTCTGTTCAGTTCGAACGTACCTACTACGTCATTTAGACCACAAAGAATACAAAGTTATAGACTTGCAGGTGACCAGGATACCTTCAATATTATAGCGAGTGGAAGCATTTAAGTTTCTAAACATTACAGAAGAATCAAGAAGAAAGGAGGATACCTGTCTTGATTGATCATAATAGCGTTTGATAAGAACCGAAATAAGGCTACCAAATGGTTCTAGATGACCACCGAATCAAAGTGAGAGAGATAGCAGAGGTTATAAACATGTCAACGTGTTTGACATATATTACATCAACTTTCAGGTATGAGAAAGCTGTCCGCGTTTGCTCACTTTGGACCAGAAACGTATTCGAATGAACATTTTCAACGCAATGGTGGTGCATTTTGGGCGTGATAAATCTGAGTTTTGGCGCCGATTGACTACAGTAGATGAAACTTGGATATATCGTTATACGCTCGAAACGAAAATACAGTCCAAACAATGGACTATTGGGAGAGAAACAGCTTCAAAAAAGCAAAAACTGTTTTTTGGCTGTAAAAGTGATGGCGACTGTTTTTTTGGGATAGTCATGGGTTTATTTCAATTGATCATATTCAAAAAAGACCACAACAGAAGCATACTACGGCATCATCACTTGACAAGCTGAATGCTGAACTTGGGGATAAATGGACACATTTTCAGAGAAAGAATTATTCTGTTCTATCGAGACAACGCAACCTCTAGCACCTCTGCGGTTGCCATGGAGAGGCAAAATCGACGAATTACGATTAGAACTGTTTGATCATCCGTCTCACTAGCCAGATCTAGCTCCACGTGACTTCTTTTGGTTTACCTGGGAATTGCGTTCGGAGGACAGAAATTTTTGTCAAACGAAGAGGTAATCACCTTCGTGAACAATCATTTTGCAGAGAAAAACACCGAGTAATATTTGGAAGGGTCACAAAGATGGGGGCATCGCTGGTGTGTAGAGTTGAAAGCCAACTATGTTGGACGAAAATTGAAAAATTATCTTCGTTAGGTCGGAAACCTTTCAGACCACCTTCATATATGAATATATATTGATATTTTTCCAATATTGCTTTTGACAAATTCCTCAGATGAAAATATTCTGCCAAACCTGTGAATGATTATTAAATACTCTGTTTAAATGAATGTAACGGGTGATTTTTTAAGAGGTATAGGATTTGATTTTCAAAAAAACACAAAAAATTTGAAAAAATGATGAAATCTTTATTGAAATCGATAAAACGATCAATATAATTTAATGTTTGAAGATGATTTCATGTAAATGTTGTCCGCGGCCCCGCTTTAGATGGCCCATGCGCAAGGTCAAATTTAGGCACATTCTTTCTAACTTATTGACCAGTTTTTCATGTATAAATGCTTCAATACAGGCTTCCAGAGCGTCAGTCGTTGCTGGTTTATGTTTTAGACGTGCTCTCTCATAATCTGACGATTATCTAGAAGGATTCGCTTAATCTGACGAAAACAATATTTTTTTTTTTTATTCATTGAACTTGATCAATTGAAAAGCTCAGGGAATATCATACAGATGAATAAGTCCTATTTTTGAGTAGAATATTTGTATTTATAAGGAAATAAATTTTAAAGAATTTAATATTTTATAATCAATTGATGAATTGATGAAGAAAAGAGAAATGGAACTTTTGATGTTTTTTACTACTTTTATTTGTAAGTAACGTTACTGCAGTTTCATCCTATAAGGACATTTCCAAACTTATATATTGTATAAGTNAGTGAATAAGTTTGACTGTGACACAAGACACGATTCACGGGTGATCTGTCAAAAACACTGTTGCCAGAAAGATACTAGCAAATAAATCACTCATTATCTATCGCTCTATCATTAACTCTTCACCGTATTCAATATCCAATCGCCCACTCCCCAAATTCGACTCACCTTTGGACGTCGGCGATACGAACAGTAAATTAACCAAAGCAGCTCCGGTGTCGTGTCCCACCAGCGTCACTCGAGAGGGATCGCCTCCGAATGCGGCGATGTTGATCTTGATCCAACGCAGAGCTGCCGCGATGTCCTCGATCCCCAAGTTGCCCCCCGAAGAATCGCCCCCTTTCTCTGCGGCGGGGACGGAGGTGGCTCGGGTTCGCAGGAAGCCTGGAACAGAATAGGAAGGAATAATGAAAGGCGTCGAGAAAAATCATAAACAAGTATTACAGGAGGAATGGAGAGGATTGCCCCCTCTGAGATATTTTCACTTAGCCAATCTTCATTAGGAGAATTTCGCTTGGTAATTTGATTTTGATGAATGGATGGGAAAAGTTGGGATGGAGGCTTTGCTAGTAGGGCTCGATGATGGTGAAGAAATTATGTTGGCAAAATATGAAGTTTTATTAACACTTCGATGAAATGAATAAAAACACATTTGTCTAATTACCACTAATTGATATTATTTGTTCGACCGGTTTCGAGTTTAACCCCATTATTAAGTGTGAAACTGAAATGTGAAATTTGAAAACTTGGTTATATCGGGAGTATTTAGGTGAGATGGAAGAACAGGTAGTTGAACTTATCAGGGTGCCAACTTTGAAATTCAACACAGAAAATTATAGGGGTTGTTTAACTTATAAATTCAAGAGTGGAGACATACATAAATCGAGCTGCTCGTCTATATTTCTAATTATCAATTGATTTTTTAATTTCCTAGCTTCCAACAAATTCATATTTTCCCTTCATTACATGTGTGTAGGATTTTAAGATTATCTTTTGTAATGATTCATAATTACTAATATCAAAGATCTTGAACAACAGTTCCACAATGATATCTTAGCAAGCGGTTAAGACTAAAGTTCATCACTGAATGTACAAACAGTGTGTCTCACTTCTCATGGAAACGCCTCCGAATCTTCCGTAATATTCGAGGTAGTACGATAAAACTCTCTGGGCTGATGGAAATGCTCAAAATGCACCTACCACCTGGATAGGGTTGGCCAAAGTGATATACACTGTCCGCCACTCGCGATGGAACGCCCCATTTTTACGGTAAAACATATTAGGGGGCAGAATGGGCTCGAAATTCCTTCAGATTCGTAATCGGGTCTACCAACTTACTACGATTACACTTTTTTCCTGGAAAAATTTCAGTCCTGAAAAATCCGAATTTGTCTCACTTATTATGGAAACACCCCCGTATCTTCCGTAATATTCGAGGTGGAAGATACAACACCATCCGTGGTAAAGGTAGCCTCATCACTGTATAAGATATACTTTAAAAAATTCCTGTCATTGAGATAATTTCCCTGCATCCATAAACAATACTCCACACGGCGTTCCTCAATATTTTGATGAAGGACCCCGCACATTTCTTATGAGAAATGGCTTACCTTGAATTTTGCCGAAATTATTTGCCACATTTCGGGGTAACACATGTCAACAAACCAAATAAATAAAGAATTGTTTTTGATGCTTCAGTCAGAAGTCACGGTGTAAGCCTCAATGATAATTTATTGACAGGTCCCGATCTGTATAACTCCATGAATGATATTCTGTTGAATTTTAGAATTAAAAAATATGCATGCACTGCTGATATGAAAGAAATGTTTCTGCAAGTTGAAGTGAGACCGGAAGATTGCTCTGCACAACGAATATTATGGCTAGGTAAAGATCGACGAATTGAACCTGATACATATGAAATTGTTGTCGTATTTTTTAGATCGACCTGTAGACCTTGCTTAGCCCAGGAGGCTAAAAACAGAAATGCCGAAGACTTCAGAGAAGAATTTCCAGAAGCAGCAACCGCCATCATACAACAACACTATATGGATGATTATTTGGGATCGGCAGACACACTCGAAGAGGCAATAAGTCTTATCAAGGATGTGAATCCTATACACAAAGCAGGAGGTTTCGTCATTTGTAACTGGATCACGAATCATGAAAAAATCAGCCAAAGTATTGATGTTTCACTCTTAGCTTCAGGTGGAAAGAACATGGAAAAGAATGGAGAATTCGTAATGGAAAGAATTTTAGGAGTTTTTTGGAATCCTCATGACGACACGTTCAGCTTTCAAACAAAATTTCAGAAAATTGACAGCGATATTTTGGAACACCTAAGACGACCAACAGAAAGGGAAATCTTGAAAGTTTTGATGTCCGTCTTTGATCCATTAGGATTTCTGGCAAATTTTTTAATTCAAGGGAAGATTTTACTACAGGACATCTGGAGAAGTCAAATTGACTGAGATGATGAAATTTCAGATTGTATGGATGAAAAGTGGCAACTGTGGATTGCAGATTTGAAAACTATCCACAATTTCAAGATTCGCAGACAATACTTCACTTTGGATAGACAATAAAGTGAAATTCAACTCCATGCCTCTGAAAAATGTTACGCAGCTGTAGCCTACTTGAGAATTCAACAAGGAGGGAAAGTTAAGACAAGTTTCATCACTGCTAAGACACGAGTGGCATCTTTAAAACCTCTTTCCATTCCTAGGTTAGAGTTACAAGCTGCCCTGATGGTAGCGCGCCTAGGACATTTCTTGAAGAAAATCTTAGACATGGAAATATCAGCTGTTTGGTACTGGAGCGACCCAAAAACGGTTTTGTATTGGATATGTTCTGAAGCTATTTCTTCAAAACATTTTTCATTAATTGAAATCTGCAATTCTCTCAACAAACTAAAACCAAAACTCACAAGCGGGGATGGTAACATACCTAGCTTTTCCGTTGAAGATTGTGCACATTTCCTAGCCATACCATTATAGTCAATCTTCAATCTAGCACTGAGTACAGGATGCTTTCCTAACAAATGGAAAATATCGAAAATTTGCCCAATTTTCAAAGCTGATGCCATAAACAATATCCAAAACTATCGACCTATAACCTTATTATCAAACTTTGCAGAGGCTTTTGAGATGTGCTTGTACAATATATTAAGAATTGAATTTCAAACAATCAACACGGTTTCTTCAGCAAAAGATTGACAATAACCAACTTAATGTGCTTCACAGAATCAGTGAGTAATGCAGTTAATAATAATCTACAAGTGGATACTGTTTACACAGATTTCTCGGAGGTGTTTGACAAGTTGGATCATAACATTCTTATCAATAAACTTCACTAATATGGATTCAAATCTCAACTCTCAAACCTATTTCGCTCATACTCAACCTCTACAATCGTTCCAGCAAAGTTCCAAAATAATCGTAATCGAGTTACGTAACAATTTCCTTTTCTCGGATTGTGAAAACTGGCTTTCCAACAAGGGAAATTTCTGGAACTTTCCAGAAATTTCCCTTGTTTTTCGCTACGATTGGATTATAATCGAGTTGCTGCACTCGATGAATTATCTCTTCTCTAAACCAAAATTAAATTCGGTCGCCTAGAGTTTTAATGAATTTAGTGATTGTTTAATTAATTGATAATTAATTTTTGTAATTCGATTCCGGCGAGATTGAAGATTCCTTTTTCCATTCCATCAGAGTAATCTAATATCTCGGAAATTGCATGAAAAAGAATTTCAGACTATCAGATAATCTGCAAAATGAAATCGGAGAGAAATAGTCCGTCTTAACTCATGACCTAATAATCAAGCTATTTCATGAATTCCAAATAAATCCATTCATGTGATGATTGTCAGACCAATGGTCACTTGTGGTGCAATTACTTGGTGGCCGAAGGCTTTACAGAAAACAACAGGCTTGCCTGGCCATCAGTGGTGCGTGCCATCGTCCACACCGTCAGCGGCCATGGAGATCCTTCTAGATCTACCTCCTCTCCACATTTTTCTGGAGAGCGAGGCTAGATGGACTGTATACATACTTTTGCACATTGCCAATTGCACAAATCAATTTAATGCAGAGTGCAACAGGCTGTTGGTTGACACTGGAAGTCACAGCATTCTTGAAATGACCTCTGACTTAAGGCCTCCAAATATCAACTACGAACTGTCGTATAAAGTACTGTTTACGAGTAGAGAGGACTGGATCCTCCGGGAGAAGGAAATATTAGAAGCAGATAGTTGGTTAACAGATGAATCAGAAACACCTTTTCATCGGTGGGGGAAGCGGCTGCAGATTTTTAAATATGTAAAAAAATACTGCTGCATGGACAATCGCGTCAAATATTTATAGCATCAATGTCCTTCGTATTTTTAATAATGTTGGTATGTTAATCTAATCGTTTGCATGATGTGGTTGGTTGTATGTAAGGGTTGAAAGTGGAAAGAACAAAAAATCATTCGAGCAGACATCTTTAAACTTAGTATAAGTAAACAGTACATACCTATTCATTGTATAGAATACTCTTGCATACATATTTTCTTCAGTTTAGTTATAGAATTTGGCAACATCACGAACAAGGAACATTTTTTTGAAAATGTTACGTCTGTGATGCCTATGTTTATTTACCGAATCTCTGTTTGAAGGTGGTTGACAATGTTTCGTGGTGTATTAATTGTATTTTTTTTTAATGATGCAACTAATTTTCCTTTATTTTCAGTATTTCAATATTGAATTTTACAAAAAGGATTTGAAGCTTTATATCTTCTATTAATTATCTGCGAGCGCTTTCGACAGTTGGTAGTACTGTCATCTTCTAGGCACTCCTCAAACTGAACTTGTCATCCTGTCGTCTGCCTCTTTATACGGTCAGAGCGTCTCAACTCAGGTATTTCAGGTACTTTAGGTAAATTTGCCTGTATTTGTACTGCATCAGGTACTCTTCTTTGTGTTAGACCTCACATTCAATATATTAAACAAAACCATACACATTCCTAGAGAAGATATAACACAAAGAAGAGTACCTGATGCAGTACAAATTCGGGCAAATTCACCTAAAGTACCTGAAATAACTGAGTTGAGACGCTCTGACCGTATAAAGAGGCAGACGACAGGATGGCAAGTTCAGTTTGAGGAGTGCCTAGAAGATGACAGTACTACCAACTGTCGAAAGCGCTCGCAGATAATTAATAGAAGATATAAAGCTTCAAATCACCGCCAGTTTCGCTACACGATCAGCCATTTCATGATACGTAATGAATTACTAATGAGTGATTGGGGATGATGGTTGTGGAGTGTGTTGGTATGTTCAAAATTTGTTTTCGCTGCTCATCCCTGAAAGTCACTGCTGTCCTTGGACTTAAGAATACAATGGAT